AGTTCCCATGGCCCCAATTTTGTGACTATTTTTGGAATCATAACTGGCATTGTAAGACTTTAAAAATACAGCATGATTCATCATGTCACTGACTTGTTTGTGCTATATCCTGAATTCTGCAATAGAGGATAACAGAAATTAATTTATACAATAAATCTTCAAGACACTGTTGAATTAACTCCATTTTCAATAAAAAATTAAGATTTTTTTTTGTTTGAAATCAGTATCGACTTATATTTGCATGTTATTCTGAGACTTTCAGATCAACCGAAAATGTTTCCTTGTAACTCTAGTTTTTACCTGTACAACCTTCTGATCTATAGACTTTTGTGTTACTTGTAAACGAAAATCTTGACCATTAAATTTATGGTAGATTTTTCTAAAGGAAACATCATGGAAAAATAAGGAAGGTCATTGAAATGGAAAATGTTTGCACGTTGTGATTTTTAGTATTCTTTCACTTAGGCTCCGAAACTGTTTGTCTGACCCAGGCTTATTTCCTTTCCATTAGCAGCTGAAATGACAGATGGAAAGCAGAGTAAAACCCTTTCAAGAACTTTTGTTCTTTATCCTAGCGTCTATATATAGTCCAGTACAGCTTTAATTCATCTTCATTTAATTTGGACTTTCGACATAATGCAATAATTTGTATATCATTCCATTCAGAATAGATAGATGTTGTGTTTGTGGTGTCTGCTGTATTTTTGTGGATAATTTTATGTTTTATTTCCTAGGGAAATGAAATTTATATGATCACTTCAACTGTTTCCCCCTCTTCCCTAGGTAAATTTTGACTAATTTCAGCCAGCTTGAGAGAAAAATTAAATATATTCCTGCAGATTGGTAACTGGACAGAGAAGAGATATCCTAATTTATGTCCCAGTGAGGAAAGGCAGAAGCAGGGGCTCAGCAGTTACTTGCTCTGTTCCTTGCACCAGTTGGCATGGATGAGCTCAGGGCCAGCCAAAAACATTGTGCTGCCCACTGTGGTTGATGGACGGGTGAGAAAGCTGTGGGTAGTTCGGGGGGGTGTATGACGAGGAGATAGGAATGTGGATATATGGGAGTTGAGATTTTTGTGGTGCAATCGTGTATTTCTGTCCTGTATCTTCCAGAATAATCCATGAAGAGTGGATTATTCCGGTTTTGCAGAAATGGGAAACTCTGTACTAATTCATAGTTTTCTTAAATGCTTTTAAGTCCATAAGTACATGGAATAAAACTTGGTGATGGTTTAATTTTGTGTGTGTTAATGTGTGATGACACCATGCTATCTCAATAGATGTTCTGGAGGGGAAAAAAAAAAAAAAAACACCCACAAAATCAAAACACTCAAACACAAACTGACTTATTTGAGATGTGTTTGACCCAAAATTTAAAAAGGAGCTAGTAACAGCAAAATAACCAAAAACCTCTAAAAAGACTGGGAGGCCACTGATGACCCTGCACGTTGTGTGAATTGAAGATGGAGTTCTCCGCCTTCTCTGGGATGCATGGTAACTAACATCTACTTAACTAGACTTAGAGGACTCAAAATCCACTCAAAGTGGATTTTTTTTTTTCCCCAGTAACTCACCCTGTACCTCCCTCCCAAACCCACTAAACATTTAGTGTAAACTATTACGTAGTGGTAGATAGTTTGGAAAAGTCAGAAGAAATTGGGTGAGTGTGGGATAATCTTTCCCAGTTCCAGGAACCCGTGGCTTATGACTGGTATTTCTCAGCCAAAAATTTCAGTAGGCCATTATGGTGTATAATTTAATAATCTTTAGATCCATTTATTATTTTGAGTGTTTTAAGTTTTTAAAAGCTTACCTGTTTTTTTTAATTAATTTACCTAGCATAGAGGCCAGGGTTAATGGTCTAAGATTTACTCTGTTGCCTTAAAATCCTTAAAACAATGTGACATTGGAAATGTCTCTGATACAGAGCTTAGTTTAAGCAACAGATTGCTGACTGGGCTTACATGTAGTAGTTCAGCAAAGTCCTATTGGAGTTCCTTTATCACACCTGCATGATTATGATTTGCCTCTCAAATCTCATTTACTGACACTTTGAGATAGGGTCTTTAATTCCTGTCAAGCAAAGGACGGTCTTCTGTATGTTCACCTGTAGTGAAGATTGATGTAAATAGTTAATTTGGCTTTCTTGCTAATTCTTTGTTTTCCTGGACCTTTCACTGTCACCCAGATCATAACTCAACATCATCAGTTCTACACAGTCCTACTGATTGTGGCATGCTAAAAAAACCCAAACAAACCCAAACATGCTAGTTTTCTGATTTTTAGCAAATTGCTCTGTAACAACTTGAGGGTTTCTTTTTTCCTTTTTAACTTTGGTACGGTGTTATCTCTAATTTTCCAGAGCTTATGATTTGTATTGGTTTCCTTACTTGGATACAGCTTCCAGTATTTGAAGCTTGCTCTTTTAATTAAAATATTTTTGTAACCTTTAATTGTGTTTGTTTTTCATTGCTTTAATAGTCTCTCTGATACTCTCCTGTATATACTCTGAGCATCTAATGCTATCTTTTTCTACAGTCTTAATGTTACCTTCGATCTTTTTATACCTGTATCTTCTAAGTTTTCAAAGTATTTACTGTAATAATTCTGTAACTTGGATTTTTATTAATTAAAGATTTCCCTGGAGAATTAACTTAAAATTGACAAGGAAAGAATTATTTCCCCTGCATGTCTGTTTGTTTGTAGTGTTTGAAGAGGATGAAATAAATGTCCTGATGATGAATAATTTTCACTGCATAGTCCAAGAATTCATATTTGGGAATTTTTAGTATTAGTGATGGTGTTTAGTCCTGAAGGGCTGCTGCTTCTGTAGGTCCTTTATATTTATGGCATGAATTGTGTTATTTACAAAACTCTGGTTCTGCTGCCAAAAGATATTGCACAAGGCTTGAATGTTATTTCTGACAATTGTTTGGTTTTGCTATGGGATAAATAAAAAAAATTCCTTCCATGTTGAATTTTGTAAACATAGTCTGCACTAGAAGTCTCTCTTGCAGATCATGATTTCGTATCGACTGGAGAGGCAGAAGTTTGCAGTGTCTTTACAGGTCTTGTCCCACTCTCCCAGCGATGACATGGAAGCCAGGCTTTTTTTTGTTCTCTCTTTTTTATTCCTTACTGGTAACAGGATAGCTACTGACTCGAATACTGCCCTTTCAGTTCTTTCTTTCTTTCTTGTGAGCTGTTAAGGAAGGGAGTTTCTAATAAGAACTATGCCTCCTTATTTGTTCTAAATTCTTAAGTTTTGACATGTTTGCTTCAGGCACTCAGCTACCTTCATATGTTCTTCTCTATGTTCAGTATTCATTGAGGTTTTACCCAAAGAGAGTGAAAACCCTTAAAATATACATTAAAAAAAGCCTCCACCCCCACTTTTGCTTTTTACTTTTGCTATGAGACGTGCTACTGTCCCCAAGCAGCGCTCGCTTGTCATTCAGGGCCTGATTGCATGTGACATTGCTATTACTTTTGTGACCTGAACCTTAACCTCCCGTGCTTGTCCTAAGAGTGGGCCCATCTCAAGGGTCTGCAGAGTAGCAGCGTTGTTTCTCCTGTGTATGCTCTGAAGGTGGTATCTCTCGATTTTCCGAAGAGCGTTGTATTACGAAACAGAGAACCTGTTTCCAAAGTAGAAGAGCAGTTCTTAAACTCTTGCACCTCTTGAGTTTAATTGCCTTTGGAATGGCTGGTGTTTGAGTTTAATTGTAAGTTATTATGCAGTAGGATAAACGTACTTGGTTGCCTGAGACACACAGCTGTATCTTACTTAGTTTGAATATGCGTATTGTTCGAAGGATGGCTCCGATGACTCTCACCTCACCAATGTGTTCCTCTTGCTTCCCTTTCGGGGAGCTTCTGATTTCAAGTGAAATCTCTCAAATTAATGCTGCTGGTGGGTTCCTCTTCTGACACCGAATACAAGTTACTTTTCCCTATTTATTGATTCTGATAGGAATTATATGGGATGAGACGATCCGTAATCTTTGTACAATGGCTATTCTACTTTATACTGTAATTCACAATAAGTCATCTCATTTTGTTATATGTGCATTTAAACTTCAGTCAGTGATAACTAAAGCTAAATTGTAGTGATGCTTAAGGCTGGGATATTTCTCTGTTGTTAAGTAGCTCCTTAGGAAGTTTTGAATTTCGGAGTGGGCTGATGAAGCGTTATTGCAGCTGTATGATTGTATTTGGCATTTTGGTATCTGGTTCTGATGTTTTTCCATGTGTATTATAATCACTCAATGCTGCTATTTGTGCTTAGTTTCACATGGAAGAAAGTTTATAAATAAGAATAAAAATTGACAGTAAAGTTTCTTCTCTGTACCGTTGTCAGTATTATTTCCTAAGGTTACCAGAAATGCCGTTGATATATTTATACTGAATGCTTCTAGGGAAATTAGGATTTAAATGATAGTAGCTCACAAATATAAGGTTTTCTGTGAGAGGTGCCTGTGTTTGCCTTTCTTACAGAAGGGACAGAGTTGTCTCTCTGACACCGGGCAGGGATTTAAATTTTTGCTTGTAAGTTTGTTGCTTAAAGAGAAAATGTCAAGGTAATTTGAAATAATAAAACTGTTTCATGTGAATGCTCAAAGAACTGAAAAAAATCTGTGGCTTTTTCCATAGAAGTGAATCTGAAAGCTGCAGAGTAAGAATATATCCAGGTGATCAAATGCTATGGGGCTTAATATTGTGCAGGTCATAATTGAACTTCTTCTCTTTAGGATATACGCTTGTGTCTAGTTTTAGTTAAAAAAAAAACAAAAACAGTTATTAAAAAAAGAAAAGTTATTTCTGGTAAAAGAGTAAGATACTTTTATAGTTGGAATAAGTATAAAACATATGTATGTGAATGTATATTTATACATATATATTTATATTTATGTATAAATATTAATTCTGATATATGTATAGTAATTCTGTGGTGTGTTACTGAAATTGTGCTATTCTTTTTTCCCTCTATCTGAACAGCACCCGGCAATGTCATCTACTTCTTGATGTCTTCAATTCTACAGAACATGAGTTGACCATCAGTGCTAGGAATAACGAAGATTTAATTCTGCATGCTGGGGAATGTCAGCGGTAAGTGCTTTCAGAATTAAAAGGGCCCTGTTTTTAACCCTATTATTTATTTATTTATATGCAATTGATGATATTTGGGGCCCGTTTTTCTTTTTTAAACATTGTACACGTGTCAAAGAATATAAGAGTTTTACTTTCTTTAAGGTGCATCACTGAAGTCTAGCAATAGCTCATGTGAATTTATTTTGCCTATGAATCTGGTAGTACTGAAAATAACAAAACACAAAATAGTTGGTTCTGAGGTGCAGAGATGGGTGTAGCATTGGCCCATCTTGTCTAACTCATTTTTGTAGAATGTTTTTAGTATTATTTTCATGTGCTCTGAATGTAGTTCTGCTGTTAAAACCTGATCTCACTAGTTCATTATCCTTTCCCAGTTTTAAATAGTCTTTTCTTTATGTAGTTTCCCAGCCATTTCATCAGTTTTCGTAGAAAGAAAACTGCAGGAAAGAAAAATAGAATTGAAGAAAAAGCAATCACCATCTTTGTGGAAAAAATATTCTAGATTAAGTAGGCCATTATGTGTATTGGTTCTTACAACCCTACTATGGTGATGTAAAGATCATTTTGTAGCAAACTATAACCATTATTTGCCATAATATATCTACCTAGGATTCCTGCTGCTGGCTGTACCCTGTGTTGCTTGGTTTATCTCCTTCAGATGATCATTACATCTAGGTGACACCATTTTCGTCTTAAAAGATGAATCTGTGAAAAAGGAAATGTTTCCATTTGGTCATGGGCTATCTGCACAGTTCTCTTCTTTGGCAGAGTTGTGCTGCAGTCTTAAATCGTGCAATTGATAAACGTATTGAAGAGAGATACTTTAATGTCTTCTAATCTCACTCTGAATATTAAGTTCAAAGTAAAACCACATCAATTGCAAGGCACGCAATTGTCAAAAAGAAGTATAGAATATGTAACAATAGCAGTAAATTCGGAATGCTTTTTGCCTTAGTGAATCCGAAAGCACAACCATGAGAAAATACATTGACTCAAACCAAGGCTGAATTTTCTCAATTTTATTTTATCAAGGAATGGACAAAAATGTCAGTAACATACAGTGCTTGTTCCTTTTATTTAGAACGAATTGGGTTATTTTCTTTTTTTTTTAAAGCAGTGTAAATACTCAGCAAAATGCTCATGTTCTTATCCGTACTGTTTTCAAATTTTGTTTTTATGTCTCTTGCTATTTCCCATCATTTTTGTAGTCGGTAAACTCTTAGAATTTCACTCCCAACTTTTGGGACAATATGTAGCAAACAGAAATAATGCTACAAATAAGGTTATAAAATTACTTTGCATCTCCTTGATTGAATTACTTTTATTTTCCAATGGATTTAATAATTTAAGTCTAAATATCCTGAAATCGTTATATTGTAATGGATATAAACCCTTTCAGTAATTCTTTTGAAACAGTCATTTATCAAGGCAGATTGTGTATTTTTTTATATAAAAAGTATTTAAACCTTTTAAGGGTAGTGATTTTTATTCTTACTGCAAAATATTTTATTGTTTTACCCTTGGCTAGAGGTTGCACTGAGTTTTCTATCAGTTCTAAACTCATTTGTTATCTATTTCTTGAATGCTAAGTGCTTTTAATTGTAACGATGGGTATATAGCTCCTATGTTGCTTTGAGTTTTAATTTTTATTCTGATGGATCTGCTACGGAAACTTTGGTGGAACATACACTGGGCCTTAAAATTAGCATACTCCTCTTAGCAAAGTGCTGTTGTTAATCTTACACCAAAAAAAAATAAAAAAAATCAGAAATCTTCCCCCTTTTTTGGAGCAGTGGTCAATGGTTCTAGGTCTGTCCTTTTTTAACATACAACAGTCATTCTCAGGAGTTTGCATTTGAACCAAGTGTTTTCAGTCCAGATATACAACGCTTTTCAACAAAGCCTGCTCTTTGATTCTCCTTTTACAGTTTTTTTCTTATCTTTGGACACCGTTTTTTTTGTTAATATCTGATTAATATGTAAAGAGAGGCTCTTCAGTCAAGTTCAGTTTTTTTTTCCCCTTCCCTGTACCTTCTTGATTCCGTCCTCATTCTTAATGTTTTCCTCATTCCACTTTTATTTAAATTATAACTTTTTTCCCAGCTTTGGTCACTCTTGCTTCCTTTTGTAATTTAGTCTCCCTCCATTCATCACCATCATTTTGAAATCTCCTGTCCTGACCAAGTGTAGATAGCAGGAAATTGTTTTCTTTGTTCCTGTTCGCATTGCTGGAGGCTCTAAGCGTTTTCATATTCTGCCTGCAGACTTACAAAGTAGGGTAATGCTGCATCCTGCTTACTGCTTGCCTCTTTGCTTCCCACTTGGTATACTGAGAAAGTAAAATAACTTGGAATTCTCTGATGTGTTGCTTCTCTCTTCTATATTACGGAGCTGTCACTGTAGAATAAAAGTTTTGCCCTCCTGTGCCTAGCGAGAGGGAATTTGCAGGAGATTCTTCCATTGCTTTTATGTAAAATGAAGAATGGCGATGGAAGCCTCTGGATGCTGCACTTACTAAAGCACTCTCCATAACGTGTTTGATTTATAACTAAGGTCCACAACTGACTATCTTACACTAAGGGTGTAGGAGATGGAAGCAGAAACACCAAAAAAAGCCTGGGATCAGCAGCAGGTCAGTACTGGCACTGCCAAATCTTGCCGAGTCCATGCAGGGCAGTCCCTGGTATCCATCTTAGAGTATCCATATTACCTGGTGCATTCCAGCCCCCTCCTGTTCTCCAGCTTATTTGTGCTTATGTAAAATGGATCAAATGCATAGAATATTACACACCCCTTTTACTTCAAGGTCTGAAGTGAAGTTTGTTGCAGTTAACTTCGAGATAGGGAAATAATAGCTGTTCCAATAACATGGCATGCAGTATGAAAAAAATGGTCTTGTACTATTAAGGAAAAGTGACATCCTTTAGGCCATTAAAATACTATCTGGAAAATATATGCCTTTTTGTACAGCAAGATTATTCTGCTGACTAGTAAAGATGATAATTTTCGCTTTCAGAAAACCTTAAGCTTACAATTTCCTGTAACTTTTCAGCCATTGATTGGGAATACTTAGTGTGTGCATTGTAACTGCTCTCGGGTACGTATGTAAGTAGTGTTTCTGAGAGGCGACAGTCTTTTCCCTCTGTTTTAGGACAGAGGAATACATGCTTTGCTCCTCTTTTTTTAATAGTAAGAAATGATAATTTAGGCTCAGTGATTATTTTATTCACTCATTTTTATCATCCTATTTTCTGTGGGCACAGAAATGGAAAGGATCAGCCTTTCTTTTTTTTCCTGTATCCCAAGATGTTACTTAGTGATGTTCATACTCCCCTTTTTGGTTTCCAGATGATTTGAAATGTTCCTTTGTGTCCCATTATGGGACAATTAGTGATATGTTTTACTTTGAGGCCTTTTGTTCTCAGAAGATTGCGGTGGTGAGGAGAGAGAACTAAGACTCATTGGGAGGAGAGAAGGAAAAGAAAGGAAATTTGCCCTCCCTCTCCTGTGAGGTGGCATGTTGAAGAAAAGAGAGGGGCAAGGGTTTTGGAGGGTCCTTCGATGAAATCCTGAAAATATAATTAGGTTTCTTTACAAAGCTAGATTAAAAATCAAATTATTTTTTTGCTGCTTTCATAGAATCACAGAATGTCCTGAGTTGGAAGGGACCCACAAGGATCGTCGAGTCCAACTCCTGTCCCTGCATAGGACAACCCCCAAATTCACACCATATGTCTGAGGGTGTTGTCCA